ATACAGCGCAGTCACATTTTTGATTACTCTGTTACTGTGATGGTAAGTGTTCTGCATTAAGTTGGCCAGGCTGTAGTACTTGGTAATTTAATTACACATGAATCCAAGTGTTGTTGTAAAGGTATTTTGTAGATACAGTTAACACCCACAATCAGTAGACCTTAAGTGAAGGAAACAACCCCTAACAACATGGGCAGGTCGAATCTAATCAGTTGAAGATCTTAGTAGCAAAAGCAGGTTTCTCTTTTTTCCTGCCTGATAATTTAAAAAAATTGAAATATAGTTGATTTACGATGTTTTTTCAGGTGTACAGCAAAGTGATTCAGTTACATACATATATAATATTGTATACATAATATATGTGTGTGTATATATATACACACACACACACACACACACACACACATATGCATACATATAGAAATGTGGGTTTGATTCCTGGGTCAGGAAGATCCCCTGGAGGAGGAAGTGGCAGCCTGCTCCCATATTCTTTTTTTAAAATTATTTTTTATTGAAGGATAATTGCTTTGCAGAATTTTGCTGTTTTCTGTCAAACCTCAGCATGAACCAGCCATAGGTATACATACATCCCCTCCCTTTTGAACCTCCCTCCCATCTCCCTCCCCATCCCACCCCTCTAGGTTGATACAGAGCCCCTGTTTGAGTTTCCTGAGCCAGACAGAAAATTCCCATTGGCTATCTATTTTACATATGGTGCTCCAGTATTCTTGCCTGAAAATTTCATGAACCAAGGAGCCTGGCCGGCTACAGTCCATGAGGTTGCAAAGGTTGGACACGACTTGAGTAACTAAGCACAGTGCAGCATATATATATATATATATACCTGTATATACATACACACACATATAGGTTATTACAAGTTATTGAATACAATTTCCTGTGTTATACAGTAGGTCCTTGATGCTTACCTATTTTATGTATAGTAATGTGTATCTGTTAATCCTACTTTATCCCCCCCTGCTCCTTTCTCCTTTGGAAACCATGTTTGTTTTCTATGTCTGTGAGTTTGTTTCTGTTTTTGTAAATAAGTTCATTTATATTTTTAAGATTCCACAAAAGTGATATCATATGATATGTGTCTTTGTCTGTCTTACTTCACTTAGTATGATAATCTCTAGGTCCATTCATGTTGCTGCAAATGGCATTATCTCATTCTTTTTTATGGCTAGTTCAGTTCAGTTCAGTCCCTCAGTCATGTCCAACTCTTTGCAACCCCATGAACCGCAGCACACCAGGCCTCCCTGTCCATCACCAACTCCCGGAGTTCACCCAAACCCATGTCCATTGAGTCGGTGATGCCATCCAACCATCTCATCCTCTGTCGTCCCCTTCTCCTCCTGCCCTCAATCTTTCCCAGCATCAGGATCTTTTCAAATGAGTCAGCTCTTCACATCAGGTGGTCAAAGTATTGGAGTTTCGGTTTCAACATAAGTCCTTCCAATGAACACCCAGGACCAATCGCCTTTAGGATGGACTGGTTAGATCTCCTTGCTGTCCAAGGGACTCTCAAGAGTCTTCTCCAACACCACAGTTCAAAAACATCAATTCTTCAGCACTCAGATTTCTTTATGGCTAGTATTCCATTTTATATATGTACCACATCTTTATCCATTCATCTGCCAATGGACACTTAGGTTGCTTCTATGTCTTGACTATTATACAAAGTGCTGCTATGAGCAACAAAAGCAGGTTTTTTAGAGAAGAAATTTTGCCTCAAGACTGCAGTGCCAACTGTTGGCTGAATTTCAGCCTGCTGGCCTCCTCTGCAGACTTGTCAGCCTTCACAATTAACTGAGTCAATTCCTTAAATCTCCTTATATATATACATACATATATGTATGTGTCCGACTCTGTGCAACCCTATGGACTACAGCCCATCAGGCTCCTCTGTCCATGGGGATTCTCCAGGCAAGAATACTGGAGTGGGTTGCCGTGCCCTCCTCCAGGGGATCTGCCCGACCCAGAGATGGAACCTGTGTCTCTTACATCTCCTGCGATGGCAGGCAAGTTCTTTACCACTGGCGCCACCTGGAATTGACATATATATTTCTGATTCTATGGAAAATCCAGACCAATTCAATCATATTTGTGTACTTGAGTACTAACAGTAGTTTTTAAGATGGAAATTCAGAACCATTCAATCTGGATGAAACGTCTTCCTGCTCCTCTGAGTTTGTACTAAGTGAATGGACAGCATTCTTAGTTTCAATTCAAATGTGACAAAGTGCTGTCTAGGGAAGTGAGACAGATGTTTGGGTTGTCAGGCTGCCTGGGGGTACACACAGGAGAACTCTAGAGGGTAAGAGCTAGCAGGGAGCATCCACCAAATGAGACCCATAGGGTTTAGACCAGCTTTCCACTCACGGCTGGAAACAAAGACCTACAAAGGAGTAAGCTTTGAGGACAGAATGTGAAGACATCTGTGCTGTTAAGAGCCTGTTGGGGAAGGACAGGTTTCCTAATCAGATGGAAAAGTCAAACAAGAATATATCCCACAATAGAGGAGCACTTTTTTTTTTTAACCAAATATGACATAGGCAATGAGAATACACGTAATATGCAACTAAAATCCAAGCCCAACATGTAATGTTAAACAGAGGCTCTAAATGACAAAATTACTGCCATGTGCAAAGAATGATATTACTCTTTCCATTCTTTACAAGAGTGATCTAGTCTTTGCCCATGAATGAGTCAGTTTCCTGAAATACGGAGTTCTTTCCTAAGAAGACCTGCACTCTGCTTACATTTCTCACGACCACTAAAGAACAATTAGCATTAACTCTTTCTAGTCTTCTAGTTTCAAAGAACTCAACGGCCTGTACTAGAAGTGATAGGGATAAAGAGACCAAGTAGGTGATTAAACAGTCAATCCCACTAGGGGATTGTAAGTAAAAAAAAATATGGGAGACCCTTGTAAGTTAATGATTACTCAAGAAAGCAGGTGTTCTTTTTTTTTTTTTTTTCATTTATTTTTATTAGTTGGAGGCTAATTACTTTACATCATTGCTGTGGTTTTTGTCATACATTGAAATGAATTAGCCATGGATTTACATGTATTCCCCATCCCGGTCCCCCCTCCCACCTCCCTCTCCACCCGATCCCTCTGGGTCTTCCCAGTGCACCAGGCCTGAGCACTTGTCTCATACACCCAACCTGGGCTGGTGATCTGTTTCACCCTAGATAATATACGTGTTTCAATGCTGTTCTCTTGAAACATCCCACCCTCGCCTTCTCCCAGAGTCCACAAGTCTGTTCTATACATCGGAGTCTCTTTTTCTGTTTTGCATATAGGGTTATCGTTACCATCTTTCTAAATTCCATATATATGTGTTAGTATACTGTAATGGTCTTTATCTTTCTGGCTTACTTCGCTCTGTATAATGGGCTCCAGTTTCATCCATCTCATTAGAACTGATTCAAATGAATTCTTTTTAATGGCTGAGTAATATTCCATGGTGTATATGTCCCACAGCTTCCTCATCCATTCGTCAAAAGCAGGTGTTCTTAACCACAAAACCAAGCAGGCTTGCTTGGCAACAAAACCATGCAACAGAAGCATGAGACATGCCCCCAAACAACAAAACAATGGTGGCTTGAGATCCACATGCTGCCAGTGAATTCAATAAGTTAATGATCCCTAGGACATGCTCTCTGCGTACATAAAAAACAATAATTTGTGGACCTAGCTTGACCATACAGGGACAAGAAAACCCCCTTGCCCAACCTGGAGGAGGAGCTGATGACGGAAGCCTGCCTACTCAAAAAAGACAAAGTTCTTCTCCATCTCCTCACTTTTCCTTTGATTATATAAAACTATAGCCCAGGAAGTTCTCTGTGCATGGCACCCCCTCACCCATCCTCTTGTAAGCCTCACAGGCATCTTATTATCTCTTTTCTTCTCGCTGAATTCTTTCTGCACTGAGACATGAACTGTGGTACAGGAGCTTTTTGGAGCCCTCTGAAACAACACCAAATGATTTCCGAAGCAAGATGCGTTTCCAAACTATTCAAAGATTCAAAAATAGAAAAATGGGAGGTGCAAGTCAAGTTATAATCCTGATCTTTCTCTGTCCCTTTCTGGCTAGCTGCTCACCGAATCTGTTTTTCTTTGTCCTCCACAGTTAAGACTACAGTTCCCAGGCTTCTTGCAGTTGGATGTGGTTATATGACAAAGTTTTGGTCAGTGGAATGTGGAAGAAAGTCATGTGTAACCAGTTCCTGAACTGCCCTCCCGGCCAGACCTCCCACAAGTGATCCTCCACGCTTTTTTCTTTTTGGCAACAATCTTGGAAATGCTTAGTGGAAGACAGACACCACAAGGTGGAATGAACCTGGCTCCCTTTATCACCACCTGGAGAGCTGCCTGCTGACCGGAAACACCTGTGTTGGACTTCATCTGCGCAATAAACTTTCATGTGTTAAGTCATAGTGATTAGGGTTTTATCTGATAAGACAGTGAATTCTCAATCAACATGGTGAGTGAACAGCATTACTTTCACTTTCAATGTACTGGAGGGGAAGGGCACACATTTTCTTTAATCTATTGATTGGGACTGTCATTTATAGCAATGTTTTGGTCAGTGGAATGTGGAAGAAAGTCATGTGTAACCAGTTCCTGGACTGCCCTCCTGGGCAGTTAATATAATGACATGACAAATCAGCCCCAAATGTGGATGCCACATAGAATTTATTACAAGACTGAATATATGATAGAAGTGACTTAGCACAGATTTATCAGTTAAAAATAATTTCTCAGAATTTTAACAGCATGGTTCTATTATTTCAGTTTTTCTTTCATTCTCTTTTTCCTTCCTTACAGGTATTTCAAATTTAGTAGGTCCACAGCCAAAATCAAATGCCACCAGAAAATCCTGTTACCTCCAACTTTTAAATCTATCCTGAATCAAATTTTTTATTGCACCCAATTCTCTAGTCTGAATTACCAACATTCCTCTCCTGAACCTGTAATTAATTGGTCTTCAAGCTTCTATGTATTTTAAAATTGTAAAATACTTTAAACTATCTGTGCCTTTATACTTTTTACTATATAAAGAAGTATGAAATTGTACATAATCATAAACATGGAATTTGCTGGTCCTGAGCATGTCATACTTTGGCCACCTGATTCGAAGAACTGACTCATTGGAAAAGACCCTCATGCTGGGAAAGATTGAAGGCGGGAGGAGAAGGGGACAACAGAGGCTGAGATGGTTGGATGGCATCAATGACTCAATGGACATGAGTCTGAGTAAAGTCTGGGAGTTGGTGATGGACAGGGAAGCCTGGCGTGCTGCAGTCCACGGGGTCACAAATAGTTGGACACAAATGAGCGACTGAACTGAACTGAGCATGTCAGCAGCCTCTTACTGCAACACCTGGGACTCTGTCTAGTAGTTGGTGTGTTCAGTCATACACAGGTCAGGGCGTTGACAACCCTGGGAGTAGCCCCCATCAATGAGTGGGGCATAAATACTCCAGCTTTCCTCCCCTCCATTTCCCAGATATTTCAGCAGTATTGAGTTTGTAACCCAATGGGAACCTGCTCGCTGACCTTGAACTGGCCTTCTTACCTTCCCGGTTTTACTTTTCCACATACCAACTGATGCTTTCTGATATCATCTACCAAAAAATTGGTATTAGTGAGAATGCCACATCTGCTGTGTGTGGATAGTACCTTGCTGTAGTTTTAGTTTGCATTTCTCCAATTAGGCAGGGACATCTTTATATATATTTTTGGTCATTTGAATTTCCTCTTCTCTAATTGGCTTCCTTCTTTTTCATGTCAGTATCTAAGATCTATAAATTCTGGATACTAATAGTTTTCTGGTTATGTTCCTTGCAGAGAGCACCACTGTTTTCTTGTGGTTTGTAAGTCTTCCACAGTATTGGTTCCTATTTTTCTGTGTGATCTGTCTTTTCCCTCTATGAAGATTTTAGGATACTTCTTTTTATTTCTGATGGTCTGTATCCTAATTTTATTGCTAAACATAAAGGGCTCTATTTATTAAGTCATTTTTAAAAATAAAAATAAGCACATAATACTTCAAAAAATCTAATCACAATAGACATACCTAATGCAGAATACTCCAAAGTGGTATTAGTTTATTATTAGTGGTAAAGTCAATAGTTTGCCACATGCTTTTTCCTACACATTAACATTTATTAAACATTTTGAGTTGAAACATAAGTTGCTTCTTAGCAGTTTTTGGCATTTTTCAGTCATCGTTTCTACTGCTGCAGATGTTACATTTTATAGACACATTAAATCATTCTATGAATCAACATTTGGGTTCTTTCTAAGTTTAAAACAAAATTTTGCAACAAATATTCTTGGGCCCATCTCTGTTCAGGAATAATTTTTAGAAGTGGAAGTCCTGGGTCCAAACCCAGAATATTTTGAATTTTAATTGATATTGCTAACTTACACACTGAAAAGGTTGTACCAATTTATAAGGCAGAAAATGCTATTTTTTTATATTAGTAATCTAAATCTTTGCTAACAAGATGGGTAAAACATGGTTTAGTCTTCATTTTTTAATTCTGTGATGTTTAGTTTCTAACTTACTAATTTTGGTTTCTAGCAATATTTATTCTCAATTTATTACCTTTTAAAATTTTAGCCATTATGCTTGATTTTAGATTATCCTTTTTTGTAAAGAGCAGCCAATTCTTGTTCTATCATTGTAACATCCTGTGAAATCTCACTGAAGGTCAGAAACAAAGCTTTTAAAGGTCTCAGACGTTCTCTTAACCATCAAAAGGTAGTGTTGTACCTGTTCATCATTATCCTTGTGGAATGGTCTGAGTGAACAGAATTTTTTTCAGTAGTGTGATCTATATGAAGTAATTCTTAGTCCCTCTTTTGATCTAATTTAATAACTGAATGCTAGTTTTTCTGTTTATGGCCCATTTCTGACCTTTGGACTTACCCACTAGCTCTGCAGGCTCTGGTTTCAGCTCTTGCCACCAGGGGACTCTCCCACTTTGGGCTGTCTTGATATATTCTACCCGAGGTGGTGTTGGTAACCTACTCCCGCCCCTTAATGGGAATTCAGACAGTTACAGCAAGAAATGTTTTACAAATGGTATCTGACATAGTCTAGTTAAGATTAATGGGGAATATACAACTATGTAAGAAACAGGGAACTCATGAGAACCTACTATATAGCACAGGGAACTCTATTCAATGCTCTGTGGTGATCGAAGATAAGGAAATCCAAAAAACAGGGGATATGTGTATAGCTTATTCACTTTGCTCTAACAACATTGAAAAGCAAGTATACTCCAATAATAATTAATAAAAAAAGGTTAATAGGGAATAAAAGTACATTGATTAGAAGTAATAGATCTAAAGTGAACGAAGTCTCTACAACAAAAAATATATAGTTTTTTTGGGGGGGGGGAGAAAGGCTTGAAATAGATCAGAAAACATTGTCACATTAATTGTTCTTTTCGTATACTTCAAATTTGTACTTAATGCCTTTTTCCTCCTGGACATCCAAAGGAACACCTGGGTATCTGTAAAAGAAAAAGATGTATAATTAAATACTATGCAAATATATTACACATGCAAATAGTTAAGAAAAACCTCAAACTATATAGAAAGTTAGAAAATGAAACATATAATTCTTCTTTCTTTCCTTCTTACTCCTAATTCTTCTCCCCCAAACTGATCACTGTTAGCAATTTCTCTTTATCTTTCTGCTCAATTATCCAGCTAATATGAAATTTCTTAAGGACGTTTTGTAAATCTTAAACTTGTTATCAAATTTATGTGAGCAAAGGGAAAATAAAATTCAACCTTTAGCTGTCAGAGTGGAACTGAAGTTATATGTGATGTATGGTAATTCTTGATTTCTGTTTAATTCGTGCACGACACTGCTCTAATTCCCCACTGTGTGGCTTATTGCAAATCCTTTACTAGAGTCACTGTTTATTTTTTCTATGCCCTAACACTCACTTAGGTTGGTATTCCCACCAGCTTTTAAGACAAAACCCAGACCCTCCTTTGGGTATATACTTAGAAGTGGGATTGCTGGATCATATGGTAGTTCTACTTTTAGTATTTTGAAGAGCCATCATACTGGTTTTCATAGTGGCTGCACCATTTTACATTTCTATCAGTAGTGTGCAAGAGTCCTAATTTCTCCACATCCTTGCCAACACTATCTTTCATTTTCCTGGTAAGTGAAGTCACTTAGTAAGTGAAGTCTGGTAAGGCTCTTGAAGAGATATTTGCACTTCCATGTTCAGTACAGTCAAGATATGGAAACTATAGCGATAAATGAATATATAAAGAAAATATGTATACTTAAAATAGACTATCATTCAGCTTTCAAAAGAGAACGACATCCTGCCATCTGTAACAACATGGATGAACCTGGAGGACGTTATGCTAAGTGGAATAAGTCAGTCATGGAAGGACAGTATTGCATGATTCTTCTTACATGAGAAATCTACAATGGTCCAATTCATGGAAGCACAGGAGTGCAAGGGTGGTTCAGAGGGGCTGGGGGAAGGAGGTAACAGGGAGCAGCTGTTCAAAGGGTATGTACACTTTCAGCAGGATAAGTCAGACCTGGAGCTGTTCTGTGTGACACTGTGCCTATAGTTTACAATACAGTATTGTATTGCTGAGGGTGAAGGAGCGTGAAAAAGCCAGCTAAAAACTCAATATTACAAAAACTAAGATCATGGGCATCTGGTCCTATTACTTCATGGCAAATAGAAGGGGAAGAGGTGGAAGCTCTAATAGATTTCCTTTTCTTGGGCTCTAAAATCACTGTGGATGGTGACTGCAACCATGAAATTAAAGACGGTTGCTTCTTGGCAGGAAAGCTATGACAAACCTAGACAGTGTGTTAAAAAGCAAAGACATCACTTTGCCAACAAATGTTCGTATAGTCAAGGCTATAGTCTCTCCAGTAGACACAAATGGTTGTGAGAACTGGATCATAAAGAAGGCACAGTGCTGAAGAATTGAGGCTTTCCAACTGTGGTGCCAGAGAAGACTATTTATAGTCCTTTGGACAGCAAAGAGATCAAACCAGTCACAACATGGATGACCTTACAAACAGAATACTAAGTGAGAGACTTATATGATTCTGTTAATATGAAATATCCAGAATAGGCATTATCTATAGAGATAGAAAATAGATTAAGTGTTCCTAAGAGCCAAGATGGAAGAATAAAGAGCAGCTGCTAATGTGCACAAGGATTTTTTTGGGGGGTGGTGAAAATGTTCTAAACTTGAGATTGTGGTGATAGCCACAAAACTCTGAATATACTAAAAACCACCAAATTTTATTATTTCAAATGGATGACTGTTGAGATGTGTGAATCATTTCTCAGTAAAGATGGTCATATTTTTTTTCCCTAAGAGTCAAAAAGCCAACCCTGTATTTAAGTTATAAAGGATTCTAAAGGGTCACAGCTTTGCAAGATGTCTGATTGAGAGCAACAGGGTTTAGAAAGGTATTTTAAAGGTATTTAATATGAAGCTGATTCACATAGTAATTTATTCTATTTGTTAGTAGCAAAAAAAGAAAGGTAAAAAAGAGGGACAGCAGAGATCAGTATCCACAGAAGGTGAGAATCAGCAATCTAAGCAGTACAAGAGAAAATAAGGTGGGACAAAGAAACAGACAGTTTTTAAAAACTGTATATACGGTGGTGGTTTAGTCATTAGTTGTGTCCAACAGTTTGCAACTCCATGAACTGTAGCCTGCCAGGCTCCTCTACCACTGGATTTCCCAGGCAAGAATACTGGAGTGGGTAGCCATTTCCTTCTCCAGGGAATCTTCCCAACTCAGGGATCAAACCTGATCTGTGCTGCAGGCGGATTCTTTACTGACTGAGCCACCAGGGAAGCCCCACACGTTTATATAATTGAAATCAATAATGTGATTTTTCTAAGCAGTCACCTTTGGAGACCACATAAGCAAAAGGCTGTACTTTGGTTGTTTAGGAAATTTTTAGAGTTCTTAAGAGTTCCCAGATTTTTTTAGAGCTAGTTAAGAGCCCAAGAAAATCAGTTACACACTTCATTTGATCCAAGACCATTACCTATATTATTCTAAAAGAAAATGCAAGTGGCTCAGTCATGTCCAACTCTGCAACCCCACGGACTGTAGCCTGCCAGGATCCTGTGTCCATGGAATTCTCCGGGCAAGAGTACTGGAGTGGGTAAGCCTATTCCTTCTCCAGCGGATTTTCCCAACCCAGGAATTGCACCGTGTCTCCTGCATTGCAGGCAGATTCTTTACCAGCTGAGTTACCAGGGAAGCCCCAACTCTAGAAAGTAATATACTTTACTCTAAAGCTTTATAGTAAATATATACAATATACTTTA